GACTCCCTTTTCAATGACTGTATGAATTTAAGAAGTCAATTTCGACGAACGTACTTTTTCGATTATTCATCATCAGACATTTACAATGATATAAGGGAGGATAGAGTGACAATAGTTTGCACAGCCACTCAACAGTAAGGCGGAGAAGGTGTTCAGAGATCAAGGGGTCAGACTCTAGTCTGGTCATATCAAGGGGTCGGAGAGCGGTATGGGGTCCAAAAATTAGTTCACTTTTCTGCATCGTCGCTGCCTCGCGATGTTGTAGGAGGCCTGAGGACGAATTCTGATTTCCGCTTCGGCCAAGGGAGCCTTAGTACGTGTATAAACGCCTCCTGCGTCCAAAAAGTCGAGTTAGCTAGCCGTATGATGACTGTCTCTGCCGTCGCAGGTATCCGCTGACGCAGGAACTTGGAGGGTTTTGTTGACACTTTATAAATGACTCGTAGCGCTTGGTTGACAACGTTTACCCGGTAACCGTTGTCAACCGGGTGAGCCAACATCGCGCTTGATATGGATTTTAACACGCTTAGGTTTATCCAGGCAGGATGGTGTTCTCGCATCCGCTTGGATACACGTCTTGTTGTTACCCCAATATAATTGGAATTACCTGATATTGAATAATCGAAAAGGTACGTTCGCCAAACGTGACTTTTTACATTGGTATCATCACTGGACTGTGAGAATGTCGACTTGCCAGTTATTTTATTCACCGTTTCAGTTTTGAGAATCTCCGGTAAAAGTTTGATTTGGGTGAAAACCCTGGCATTCTGTACTACTAGGCCGGTAGTAATTGGAGTTAAGTAAGTAGAGCATATAAGAGGAAAGAAAAAGTAATTTAAAAAGTAGAGCGTATAAAAGTAGAGAATATAGGAACAAGTAGCTTAATAACCCAATTTTTGGCAAAAAACGTGCGATTATTAAAACTAAAACTAAATAAAACTAAAGCTAAAAACTAAATAATAGATTAAAACCTAAAATTAAGTTTAACTCAAAACTAAAATAAATGCAACTAAACTAACAACTAGCTAAAACTAAT